CTCTCAACAAAAAAAAAAAAAAAAAAAAAAAAAAAAAAAAAATCCTAATCCCTGATGTGATAGCATTAAATCATCACTGGAGTGGAGCGCTTCCAAATGGGACTAATGTTCTGATAAAAGTGTGGCAGTGCATGCTGGGATCCAGCACTCTGGAAGGCTGAGGCAGGAGGATCACAAGTTCCAACCCTGTATGAACCATTTAGCAACTTAGTGAGACCCTGTCTCAAAATTTTTAAAAAAACTGGAAATGGTCTGATGATGAAGCTCAGTGCAAAGGCCCTGCGTTCAGTCCTCAGTACCAGGAAAAAACCAAACTCTGGACAGCCGCCTGCTCTTTGCACAGAACAGGGGACACAGCTAGACATCACCATGTATAAGTCAGGAAGGGGGCTGTCACCAGACACAGAATCTGTCATTGCCTTGACCTTGACTTCTAATGACCAGAACTATGGGAAACGAACATCTGTTGTTTATAAGCCACTCTGTTATTTTGTTATAGCCGCCCCTGATGGACTGGGACCCCGGTGCAGGATGGGCCCAGAGAGGGTGGACAGTGCGCAGATAGCTGGTCCTCAGCCTGCAGGAAGGACCCTGCTTGGTACAAAGCAGCAATGCTGAGAAAGAAGTGGGGCACTGTGTTGAGGAACAGGGAAACAGGCTGAGAAGGATAGAAAGGCTTTGGAGGAGATGATCTCTGAACTGGGTTTTGTTTTGTCTTTAAGAAGTACTTTTTTTTTTGGTACCGGGGATCAAACTTGGTTCCCCGCACTTGCAAAGCAGATGGCGGAACCACTGAGCTAAATCCCCGGCCCTGAACTCGGTTTTGAAGTAGGTATAGGAGTTTGCTCACTGGGAGGGAAGAGATTCCAGGCAGGGGAAGAGCAGCAGGTCCAAGAAGGAAGCAGCAGTGGGAGAGGAAGCCTAAACAGCATGATCTTGACCTTCACATACTTGGCAATTAGTGATTCTCAACGTCTTCCCACCTACATGAGAGTGAAGGCTCTGGCCTGGTCATAGCAGAAGTTCCATCTAGAAGCTTTTCTTGTGAGTGGGTCAGATACCTGAATCCCAATAGGGAGCCCCCTCAAGGGAAGCCCCCTTCTCACCTAGGAATGGAGGCCACAGACGATCGCACTTTCCAGAAAGATCTTACAAGGCATGATTTGAACTTTTGTTTTGAGTCCATAGTTAGGCTGACCTCAAACTAATGATGTGGTCCAGGCTGGCCTCGAACTCACAGCGATCCTCCTGCCTCGGCCTCCCAAAGCATGATTTGAGTTGAAGGACAGAGGCTGTGGCCAGGTGTTGAGGCTGAGCCTCCAGTCCCTGTGAGAAGGGGACACTCCTGCCCAGAACCCCATCCTGCAGCTCTGTCTCAGAGGGAGATGGTAGGTCACCTGGCTGTTGAGCCTTAGGCTATGACCTCATCTGGGCTCTGCAAACTTCTGCCCTCTGCAGGCCTGCTCCAGAGAGTAAGAGAGCTCCGTGTCCTCCAAGGCCAGGTGGGCGTGGCTGGGTCCTCACTGGCCGGCCTGGACCCAGGGCCACCTCCTCCTCCCCGGCCCCTCCCTGCAGTGGGGTGGGGGTGTTTGGGCTTGTCTGAGACAGAAATGACTGTTCTCTTCAGACCCCTCCCTGGTGAGGCCAAATCCTGGGGCCCACAGCAGATTCGGCCCCCAAAACCTGTCCAACCAGTCGTAAGGGAGGAGGGGGCAATGGGAAGGGCCTCTGCGATGCCAAAGGCGGTGCCCCCAGCCCAGCACAGGCAGAGCTGCTGGGCCTGTGACGCTGCAGAAGGACCCAAGGACAGATGGGGGCAGGTACCCAGATGCTCTGCCTGGCCATGGGGCTCAGCGGACCGTCCCTGCTCCTGTCCCCACTGTGGCTGCTGCTGACCTGGGTCCAGCCCGGGACTGGCGTGGGTGAGTGAAACTGGGGGCTGGGGCAGGAGCTCCCCCAAAGTCACAGCATCAGGAGGATGCACCCCTACCCTGGCTGCCTCCTGACCCCCTCTGTGGCTGGGGACTCGGTCCCGGGTAGGTGAGAGGGACACAGCCCGCTGAAAAAAGTCGCAAGCCTGACACCTGTCCCTTCTCTCTTTTTGGGGTTTTCATGCCCTAGGATGCCCTCCTTCCTCTTCCCTGTCCTGGGCAGTAGTTTAAGGAACTCTGTGGAGACCAGCTCCTCCTGGAAGCCTGTGGAAGCCTTATGAGGAGGCCACAGGCCCCTTCCTGCCTCCAGCTCTGAAACTAGATGCGCTGAGGGAGAACAACACCCCTACCCCTGCTGCTCCTGTCCTCTTCCCTTGTTAAGCAAACCCTGGGCACCTGCTGTATACAGTGTGCCCTGGGACTCTGAGCTAGGACTAAGAGCTTTGAGGAGGAATCCATCCCTCCTTCCCCATGCTGGAAGGTTCTAGCCTGAATCTTTGGAGTTGAGTTAATTCAGGGGGAACTAATTACATGGAACTGAACTGAAGGAAAGATGTAGGTGGGGCCGGGGTGTAGCTCAGTGGTTCCGCTGCCTGCCTTGCAAGCACAAGGTCCTGAGTTCGATCCCTGATACCAAAAGGAAAAGAAAAAGAAAAAAGCTGTAGGGTTGCTGAGCTTCACATAAAAGCCCTTTTCTGCTGTGCCAATGTTTAGGGCTAGGGAAAGGAGGGGACTTTATGGGGTTTCCGCATGCAGGGAGGAACGGGGGGCAGCAAGGTTGGATATGGGCCATGCTGCCCATCCCATGCCCCTTCCGATGTGTGAGACCGGAAGGAATGCGGGTATCCCGAGGAGAGGAGACTTGGGACCAAAGTGGGCGGTGATGTGAGATGGGGAAGAGAAGAAAGTCCCAGACCGAGCCAATCTCTGCCCCAAGACAGTGGCCCC